TATAATTACATATTTAATTTGTATCTAAGAAGTTTTTAAAAAAAATTATAAAAAAGATATTATTTATTATTTATTTTTGTTCATTTTATCTATTAGTATATAATATATATTTTTTATAACAGACATAACTAAAATAATAGACATAGATATTAGAATTTTTTTATTAGCTTAAATAGTAATTGTATTCGAAATATTTTTGAAATCTTCTAAAAATCATGTAAGTTTTGTAAATAGGTACATATGGCAATTTCGTATAAAAATATTCATTAATAAATAAATTAATTAAATAATTAAATAATTTTATAAATTTGAAGACCAAATGATATACTTAGAATAAAAGATAAATGTCTATACATAAAAACATCAATTTAAAGATAAAATGCCATTTTAAAGATAAATAATCTGTAATATTTGAAATAATATAATGTTATTTAAAGAAAAAAATATGTGTTTAAATGTGTATATATATATATATATATATATATATATATATATTTAAATAAAAATATTTATATTTAATAAATAATATTAATATATCTAAGACTTAAAATAAGGAAATAATTACAATGAACATATATTTATTTCGAGTATACAGCATTTATTTATTTTTGTTTTGTGTTAGCATCTCAATCTTATAAATACTTCTGAAAATTATTTTATTGAAATAAATGCCTAATAATTATTTGAATAGATTTAATTAAATAATTTTAAATAACCTAGAGGTTTTGAGTTTCTAAAAGCAATCAAATATTTCTTAAATATTTCTATTATAATTTTTAAAATATTTAATATTCATGTAAAAAATATTATAATATTAAAAAAATGTTTTTTTTATTTAATTATTTAAAAAATATATACTATTTCTAAAAACCATATTTTATTTTTTATATAAATTTTAATCTATTAACTAGTTTAACTAAAAAAAAACTATAAACTCAAGCTTATAAATAAAAGCTTATATGCAATTTCTATATATATATATATATATATATATATATTCAGAAAGTTCTAATTATTAGGTTAACATTTTGAATAATTATTACATATTATCACATTCAATTTTAAATAAATATCAAAATTTGTTGTTCTAAATTACTTCTTTGTGATGAAAAATAGTCACAAAAGTACATGCATGCATAACAAACATATACATAATACAAGCTATTTTATTAAGATCTTAATCAACATACTTGTGTAATAGGTCTACAAACTAGTGGTTTTACGAAGTGAAATATTAGAGCAACTAAAATTCTCAAACATTGTCTAGAAAATACTCCAAGTGTAGACTAAGTTATTAGAGGTGCTACTCCTTTACCCTTGGAATTCCAAAGAGAGCATTGATTACAAGATGGAGAAACTTACCATACAACAAACATATATATATATATATATATATATATATATGTGTATGAAAGGCATGTCCACAATATCATCTTTAATAATTTAAGATTTTTATCAATACCTTTAAATATAACTTCTATCTGATATTTATATATAATTTTAAATTTTTATCTAAAAAATAAATAATGCACAAAAATCACAAACTATATATAATTTTTTTCTTTAATTTTTTTTTACTTGCACAAGAAGAAAATGATTTATATATATATATATATATATATATATACATATCCAAATAATCAAAGTTAATGAATAGAAATTTTATTAATGGCATCCAAAAAATATATTGGAATTTATAGATTTTTACACTTTTTTAAAAATAAGCAGATGAGATTATATTAAAGCTTTAATTAGACCCCAAAAATATTAAAATTTAAAATTTTACATAAATTCTAAAAAAATTGAAAAATAAATGTAGACTATAGAATTTTATCTATAATACTTATGACCAAATCCTTACAATATAGAAAATCAGAAACTTTGTTCTACATTATGTAACCTAGGGCACAAATTGTCATACTTGTTCTATATTAGACTTAATATGGAACAGAAATAAATATAAATAAAACATTTGAATAAAACTATACAAGGAAAACAAATTTATCTTCAAATCTTGATAACTACTTTCTTCTGTCTCAAATTTTCATCTTATAACTATTATTAGGACCTTTTAATTTAAGAAATTTTCTAAATGTAGGAATTTTTTCATAAAATAATAAAAATATTTATCATATATTAAGACAAAAGTTGTGAGACAACATCATTAAATGCAGTGTAATAGATTTGCCATTAGAGGGGGTGTTGCATAAAATATACAATACCATTTGCTTTACTAGGAGAAAAAATAATCTTTACTTTGTTCTATTTTGACTTAACCCTCATACCTACTAATGTTTTACATGTCCTTTTTTAGTATAAGTTTCTTTTCCTGTATTACTTAATGTAAGACAAGTAGAACAATGTCCTACATTAGAAGGGCTTGACTATGAGTTTAAAAAAACCTTTTCTTATTTATTTGATATAGGACACAATTTGTAATGATTGCATGACAAACACCCTACATTAAAAAAATTAATCTTCATTAGAAGGGCCTGCTAATATCACATAATTTATTGGTTCCTTTTTATTTTAATCCACAAAGTGTAATAGAAGAAGTTGGTATCTTCTATGCAGTGCATGTAAACAGCATGTGCTTTTTTTGAAAGAAAACAAAAATCAAAAACAAAAACAAAAAAATAATAATTTCATGATACAAACATTTTTATTTTTTATTTTTTTATGTTTGAACAACCTTCCATAATGCTCTATGCATATATTTGGTAGAAAACATGCCCTCAACCATTAAATTTAAAATCATTGATACCATCTTCACCTACCATGGAATTCTGTCATTTAAAATATACATGGCCAAGTACAGCATTAATCTTAGCACACAACATAGCATTGAATTGAATTTGAAAAAAACCACATGCTTTCTTCTCAACTTTTTTACCACCAGTCTTTTTATGTAATGAAATGCTGACTTCGAGATTCAATTTGAATATACATCATATGAATGTCAGTTTTTACTGCATTATATTTTTATTCCTTATAAGTTTAACTGCAAAATCTTCTTCTTTATCCCTCTGAAAACTTATGTGTGTATATATATATATATATATATATAGTTTTAAAAATAAAAAAACTAACTGTAGTTGTTACTTTCTTTAAGCTCCTTAACATGCCTGCAACATTTAACATCAATGAATCCCCCCAAATCCAAAAAAAACACACAAATAATAGTAATACTACGAATATTAATAGTAATCTCAGTATATGCAAATTTTACAAACACACAAACTCAGTTTCAAAATTTACAACACACTTGATGTGGAACCTTATTTACAAAAAACAGTTGATATGTTCAGTACATGAAATACTTTACCTTATTTAAAGAATACCAACAGTAGAGTTTGTTGAAGACATAACTCATCAGTTGTCAAAGCATCATAATATGATTTTAATGTAAAATATAATACAAGCTTTTCAAAAAAATGGATATGCAATACCAAAGATTAGTGTCATGTTGGAATCATGATGAATGTGGTTGGTTTTCATTACTTTTGAATCCAAAGTGGAGAAATGAATCTAGATGTTTTTTTTTTTTTTTTTTTTTTTTTTTTTTCTCATGATGGGTGGATAAATTTAGTAAAATCCTGGGTCTATTTAAAATTCATCTATTTTTATTACTGTAACAAACTAACAATATGTAACTTTTTAAAATAGTAATTATTTTGTGATTCAATTGCAAAACACCCATGTGGATAATGTGCAAAGGACATGATTTGAAAAACATACTACATAAGGAGTAAAAAGGCAAACACTCTATGCATTTACTTTCTATATGGGAAGGTAGAATTAAACAACTATTAGAAAGACTCAATTTCAAACCAACATACACATAACAATTTGAAAGAAGAGAGATCAAAACAAAATCTACGTTCACATGACACACAGCATTGAATGGACAAAAGCGCAGCATAAACCATCCAAAAATAAAGAACAAGACCCAAGAAGATGCACATTGAAGACACAAAAACAACAAAAGCATAATGGAGGGAACCAAATGAGGCCAATCAAGAGTACATGAAAAAAAATGATTGATACCATGGAAGTCCAGAGAACTAGTGGAAAGTGATGTGGAACAATGTATTTCCCTCATTAAGCCCAATCCCATGTGCCTCTCAAATATATATACACAACATCTATAAGTGGGTAGTTGTGGGACTGGTGAGGCCATGCTGGCAGCCCTATAATGGCCTCTCACACACCCCGAGGTCTCGTTCTCACTGCCAGAAAAAACGAGATGGCAAGCCCTAGCCCGTCGAGGCTGGTAACTTCGGATGCAAATCGCGTCGTTGGGAAAAGGGTGGAAAGGATTGGAGGGAAGCGACCGCGGGAGGGCAGGTGACGTGGCACACCCGTCGCGCCAAGAGGAGCCGCGCTGCGTCCGGGTGCGGGGTAGGAGCAGCACAGGCGGCGTAAAGCGGTGATGGCGCGACGGGTAACTAACACAGGGCAACCAACGTGCAGCGCTACAATACACTCCGCGTTGTGCGTAAGCAAATGGGCTTCAACGTCGGGGCATATCCCTGGAGGAGTCATTACTCCCCTATCGCCTACTGCAAAGAGTGATCTTCATCGCCTTCCCACCCACTTCATCAATTGCTGTCTGTTTGCCTGCCTGCCTACCTGCCGTGCCAAGCCAAGCGAAACCCACCTCCACTTTTTCTCATCGTGTCTCAGTTGCCACAACCACCCTCTGATCATGTACGCTGCAATCCCCCCCCCCTCCCCCCCTCTCTTTCGATGTTGAAAATTCATAGTGAATGAGGTTAATAATTCTCCTGATGGGCGTGCGACGGTGAAATGATCCGTGTGGTGGTGTTGTCGGGTGTCGAGAGATTATTGGGTGCGCCGAGGGTTGTCAGCATTGCCAACGCGCAGCGTCACACACATCATGAGCTGCATGTTGTGTGTGGGGCAAGATGTACGTGGCTTGAAGCCTGGGTCGGTGGTGGAGAGAGAGGGAGAAAATGTAATTTATAGTGAAGGTAAGTTATCAGATTCTTATTCTGTGTGTTCGGCTTCTCAGTTTCCTTGGCATTGTGGTGGTGTTGTTGGCTTGAAGCGGCTCTTAGCCGTCTTCAGCTGGCGCTGATACCTGCAGTGAGTCATGCAGCGCGGAGTGTCTCAAGGGTGGTTGTGCTTGCGTGGGGTGTGGTAAAGTGCGGGAATCATATCAGGTCGTTTGGGAATTTTCGTATAGTTTTTTTCTGAAAGGTGGTTGTTGTCGTATGCGGGTGGGTTTCGGAGAGGAAGGCGCATTAAAGGGGCGTGTGGTTTTTGTTCTCTCGAAATGTTTTAAGCAGCAAGTTTCTCTTTGTTGATGAGTTTCCAACCTCGGAGTGGGGGACTTCAAGGAGAAGGTCGTTACTGTATGTTGTGCACAGTTTGTATGGATGTCTAAGTGGGTTTGAAAGAATGAGGAGCTGCCTCTTCTGACGAGTCCACAACTGTACCGTCACTGGCACGTCCCCATTACCATCGCCGAATCAACCATGGTGGCGAAGGAGGCCTTCCTGGCCGAATGGCCATGGGAGAGGCTTGGTCACTTCAAGGTTAGCAAAACTAGTTCTTCACCCAAAGTTTAATTCGGCGATTCAGGGGTTATTTTTGGTTCCAGTTCTTTCAGTAGTCAAGAGCTTCTGAAAGGTTGCTTCCCTGATATGAGGTTAATGCACATTGCCCTCAATGTAGCGGAGTAGAGACCACTGTTATAGTGCAACTGATGACTGTTCGTGGGTATGGTGACCCTCATGCTCTGCTGCAGTACTTGGTGTACGCGCCTTTCGTGGGGCGGCTCTTGCAGACGATCATTTACGGAACTGGTCTGGAACCTGACAACTGGGCCATGCACATGTTCTTCTTGATGGTTGCTCGCTACTTCCACCAGCAGCTCTGGGTTAGTGCTTCTCGCGTTCCCTGGTTAACGGAAAAGTTTGTGGTCGACGAACGTCAATCTGGATACGAGCAAGTCGATCGCGAGTATCACTCGTAAGCTCTTATATCAACCATCTAGCAGTATATTCGTCCCTAATCGTCAACGTTAAGCTTTATGATTCATCTTCCCGCTGCATACATACCTCAGTTCTTCCAGAAACGTTAATGCCCCTAGTAACCATCACTTATCCGTGGTTTTCATTTCAGAGACAATCACCTCATGCTTCAGTTAATCTTCATCTCAGTGGCACATAGCTGGTTTCCAGGCTTTAGCAATGTGGTTGCTTGGAATACTCAGGGCTTCTTGTACGTGTTGCTTTTCCATGTCGGTGTGGTGGAGGTTCTTTACTACTGGATACACCGAGCATTCCACACGGAAGTTTTATTTCGAAACTACCATTTCTATCATCATATGTCCGTCGTTCCAGAGCCGCCAACAGGTATGAAGACTCTACGTTTTATTGACCTCACTCTATTAATTTTGGTATTTGTGATTAACTTCGCAATAAGGAACAAGAGTGAACAGTTAGTAAATGTGCGTCGGTGTTGGCAGGGTCAATAACGACGATGCTAGAGCAAATCCTGCAGTCTCTGTTAGTATGTGTGCCCTTGCTGGGCGCTGCAGCGCTTGGGGGCGGTTCCATGGCCATGATTTACATCTACCTCATTGCGTTCGACTTCTTCAAGTGCTGGGGCCACTCCAATTTTGAATTTGTGCCTGAATGGTTTAGAGGGTTTCCTGGTGTCAAGTATCTGCTCTACACACCGTCGTGGGTTAATCAACCTTGCTTCTCTAATTTATTCTCTCCCCCATGTATAGTTCTTTCATGGACTGTTTGAGGTGCTAGTTATCCGACTAGGGTTTTGGTCTAGCTTCTTCACAGTTTCTCCATGTACAAGCCTAAACTTATATACAGTCACTTTCCTGCTTTTAGTTGACATCACGAACTGTCGTGGGGAGCAGGTACCACTCGCTGCATCATTTGGAACAAAATTCCAACTTCTGTCTCTTCATGCCGCTATTTGATTACCTAGGTGGCACTGTGGATCCCAAGACTGAGTCTCTGTATGCGGAGCTAAGAAAAGGTACTTAAGTTTCCAACCCGTCTGCAGTGTTAGGCTGATAGCATTCTTCTGTTAACATATTAAGGCGACTTGCAGGTGAGGATGTGCAAAAAGTGACCTAACCACATCAATTTGGCACATTTAACCTTCCAAAAATTTATATCGAGAAGTTAGAATTTCGTGCATGCACGATAAGTGCGACTAATTGAAAAATTTTACTTGCCATGCTGGATAGGGAGACTCCTGAAGGTACCAGATTTTGTGTTCCTTGCGCACTGCATCGATGTGCTGTCCTCGCTCCAAGTTTCATTTTGTTGTCGCACGATGGCGGCGCACCCCTACAAGTGCCACTGGTTTATCTGGTGGACATGGCCCATCACCGTATTTTTCTTGATGATTTTCTGGTATTGGGGCCAAACCTTCACTGCCATGACCATTTATGTCAACAAGCTCAAGTGCACGTCATGGGTGATCCCCAAACATGGCTTCCAGGTAGTTAAAACCTTGTGCCAGCATATGTTGATTCTCATTTAAATGGTCATCTTCTTTCACATGTTTAAGCTAAATCAGACCCGGTTTATGATTGGTTCTGTGTACCTTGATAATGCAGTTCTTTTTGCCATTTGGACTGGACAGCATCAACAAACACATCGAGAAGGCCATTCTTGAGGCAGACAAACAAGGAGTGAAGGTTATCAGCCTCGCAGCACTCAACAAGGTCAACAAATTTCCATCTCCTTCCAGCTTCACTAATCCGCCAGGCTAGGTTTTTTGAGGGTTGCGAACGTGACGTTCGACTAGCTGTCCCTGCGTCTCTCTGCAAATAAATCTCATTAGTTGGGATCTAAGAATGATTGATTAACGTTTTTAGCACTTTTGGGCTTCTTCGTGAGCCTCTGCAGAATGAGGCGCTCAACGGTGGAGGCTTGCTATTCGTAAAGAAGCACCCAAACTTAAAGGTGCGAGTGGTGCATGGGAACACCCTTACAGCTGCCGTGATCATCAAGACGTTGCCTCCAGATGTGAAGGAAGTGTTCATGACTGGGGCTACTTCCAAGCTCGGTCGTGCCATTGCTCTCTACCTTTGTGCTCGCGGCATTCGCGTTCTGGTAATCCATCCAACTATTCATGTCAAATCTTCAACAAGAATCTGAAAGATTTTAACAAGAGCTTGGTTTCTGGATCAATTGTTTGAAGCTGTTCAGGTCCTAGAATACCTTATGCCACTGGTTTAATCTCATGTTTGCTAAAGAAATTTCTTGCTCATGGATAATTAGAATTAAAGTTCTCCGATCTCGATGCAGATGTTGACCACCTCAACGGAACGGTTTGATGCTATTCAAAGAGAGGCTCCCGCTGATTGCAGAAATAATCTCATTCATGTAACCAAATATCAGGCTGGAAAGAACTGCAAGGTAAAAGATTCAAGAACCAAGCTCGTCGAAAACTACTATTTCTGCTTACTCTAATTCAAAGTAGCAGATGCTAGAAACTGATCGTTGTGCGTACTTGTGAGGAGTTTAACGAAATCTCTTCGGGTTTAATTCTTCATATAATTTTCTCAGACATGGATTGTTGGGAAGTGGACGTTCGCCAAGGACCAACAGTGGGCTCCTCCGGGAACGTTCTTTCATCAGTTTGTGGTGCCGGTCATTTCGGAAGTGCGCAAAGATTGCACCTATGGTCAGCTTGCAGGAATGGTTTTGCCAAAGGAAGGAGTTAAAGGACTCCGCACTTGTGAGGTACCAATCGCTCTACACCCAACTTTTAGGACGTCTGAATACCTTTATCTCAAAGAAGAGTCCCACAATTAACGCCCAAGTGAGCTTCTTATGTGAACTGATATAATGCATGAATCGAAGTGGCGGCAAAATTAACTATTCCTAAACTTTTCACCCGAATCCTCTGAATCAAAGAGGTGAACCAATGGGTCCAAGTATCTACTTCCAAGAGTATTAACTACTTTTGACAGAGTACGCGTCAGTATCTGCGTTCTTGCAGTCTAGGATTCCAGAGATGCAGTCTGAAATAACTCCCACTGTAGTGTATACAGTTGGCAAATACCAAGATTGATATCTACTGCATATTTGTTACCTTTAACTGATTCCGCTGTTGATCACTGCAGTTCACAATGGAACGAGGAGCAGTGCACGCTTGCCATGCCGGTGGCATGATCCACACACTGGAGGGCTGGACTCATCACGAAGTGGGTTCCATAGACGTAAGCCGCATCGACGTTGTGTGGGAGGCAGCCATGCGTCATGGATTCGCTCCTATTGGATCGTAGTCAGATCTGCATCAGAAGTCAGGATTTCGATAAAGCTGAGACATACTCTTTTCATTAATGATGCACTTGGACCGTATGTCAAATGAACAACTTTTTTTGTATTTTCTGACAACAATGTCAGGTTTACATACTGTTTTTCAATTGACATATATGTCGAAGTTGTGAAAAATAAACGAAGGCATTGGAAAAAGTTTCTTTGTCGCTTAGTTTTCTTTTTATTTAACTACATTTGAATATTAAAGCAGTTACAATAAGCTTAACCCGGTCGGGTTGTGTACACATCCGCTTATTCTCTTAACTCATTTTCAGTAAAAAAAAACACACTCTTCGTGAATGTCAAAAGCTCTTTTAATGCCTCTTAGTTGTTTATTTTCAGAATACTGGATCTAATTCGCATTAATCCACCTTCGTAATGATATGAAATTTTAGTTAGTGTATGAGTTTAAAATGATAATTCAATGTTAACTAAATGTTTGGTCGTTTGAATTTTCTGTTCAAGGAATGATTGTAAAGTGAATACTTTCAGAACTTAATTTCTTTTGTTCTGTTTATTTTTCTTGCAGCCTCATTGAAATGTGAAAAAAGTCATACTTTTTGCATAAATTGATGGTTATTACTTTTTAAAAATGAAGTGATTTTGATCTAAATACATAGTTTAAAAAATAAGTATATTTGATACATTAATAAAATTATGCTATCAAAAAATGGATAATAATAACCACATCAAAATCAATTATTGTAGTATAAATAATCATTCCAAAATCTAAACCTTATAACATTAAGTAAATTAAATTAAATATTAATACAATTAATATGTACTTGATACGATATTCAAAATAAAATTATAAATAATATATTAATAGCAAGATTTTTAAAATTTAAAATAATAAAAAATAGTTATCATAAAAATAAAATTTTTATCATAGAAATTATATTAAGAGGTTATATTTTTTAAATGAGATAAAAAGTTTAAAGTATATAAGTTCATCTTTAAGAAAATATTTATTTTATTAAAAAGCCATGACTTTTTAGATATAAGCATGTCTATATAAATATCTATAAATACATTTGGAAGTGTTACTATTAAATTACTACCAACAACAAAGTGTTTACCAATAATATGAAATAATTGTATTTGATTTGCAATACTTGTTAATTCTATTAAAACCACCTATTCAAAAAATATATTTTTTAAAACAAATATTTTTTTATTGTGATTGACCTCCTTATCACTTTAACTAGTAGTAAATATCAATAGATTAAGTAGGTAATATCTTCTTGTAAAATATTGTGGCTTAAATTTGAACCTATAAGAATATGTAGATATACTATGTAGCTCTAAAAACTTTAATTTTTATTTATTTCTTTTTATTTCTTTTTTTTTTTAAATCTAAAAAGCTACTATAGAAGTATTTCATACTTTAAACACATGATTTAAAAAATTTATAGTTTATAAAAATCTTTTGCATGATTCTTTTATTAGTTAGTATATTAAGAGGTAAGATTACAATAATCTATCTTCTTAATATCTCTTTTGTACTTTGATTTAGATCAAAGTCTTTTTGATCTCTTTGTATTTAATATCAACAATTATAAAAATACAAAAAGATAAAATAATTTTATATTATTAATTATATATATGTTAGTATTTTTTACAAGTTTGTATAAGTTTATGAATGTAATCTGTTAATAAAGTTGAAGTTTGGAATATCACGGTTTTGATGTATTTTGATTATATAAATATAAACCTTTTAAATGATTTAAAAAAGAAGCTAACATGTTGCACATTACCTTTTTAAATTGAAATTAATTTTTTAGCTTTATATTTTTTAATTTATTCTTGTATTTGAATTGCTTAAAATTTTAAAATATTATATTGAATTCTAATAAATTAATGATAGTTATAGCCAAAAATAGTAACATAAAAAATATAATTAAAATTTTTTAAAAAATTCTAAAAAATTAATTTAGTTTATTACTACAAAAAAAATAAAAAATAATTAGTCATAAAATTGATGTTGGAAATTCTATAAGAACTATAATACCTTAAGTAATTATTTGTAATATTAATCATTAAAAAAATATAATAATATTCATCAAAAAATTAAGAGTTATTTCTCTTATGAAATTTAATAAATTTTTGAGTAATTTAAAATATTTATCAACCAAGCTAAACTATTCATTGAGTTGCAACTATAAATTTATTTATTTTTAAGATCTTAGTTAATATATTTTTAATATGATCATATAATAATAAATTTATTTGAGCTTAGAAATAATTATTTTTATTATTAAAAAAATAATTAATAAGAAAAATTTTAAGATGAATTATTTTTAAAATTATTTTATATACAAAAAACACTTTAATTTAAAAAAAAATCACATTCAATATATTTTAAACATTTAAAAAATTATAATCAATACCAATCAAAATATTATTATATTGCATTATCCAATTTTTTTATGGCTAACAATATGACATGAAAAAAGTTATATATTTTATATCTAAACTTTTAATGAAAATCCATAAAATTAATATTTTTTGTCAAATGAAAAAAATTGGTCTTTTAATTTTCTTTAGGAGCCATAGTTATAAGTATTAAAAAAATGGTCTTTTAATTTTCATTTAAAAAAATGGTCTTTTAATTTTCATTTAAAAAAATGTATTTTAATTTTTTCTTTTCAGATAAAACATAGATAATATAATAATTATTTTTTTGAATAATATTTTTCAAAATAATTTTTTAAAAAAGACTAAGGTTATCATTTGAATCTTATATTTATTATAAAAAGATATAAAATTACTGCATATTAAAAAAATATTAATATGTTTGTAAGTCTTAAATTTTAATATTATGAAAAATAATAATATTTAAATAAAATTTATTCAATTTTTATTATTAAAAATTAATTCTTTTAAAAAATAATAATATATATTTTTAAATTATTTTAATCCATATTTATTTTAATTATTTTTTTTTACACAAAAGAAATATATCCAATACATTAACTAGACTATTTTTAACAAAGGAGCTTCTAAGGACCTAAAAAGAATTTTAAGATCAAACTTTTTTATAATTGCATTAAAAATAATTAAATTACTTTAGAAAATCATAAGATTCCATAAATATATATATATATATATATATATATATATATATATATATCTTTTATCTTACTTACTCTATAAGCCATCTATGATCTACTTCAACTTTTAAATAACAATATATCTTTTTTGTCAAGTTTATATATATATATTATTCTGGTAAATTTCTATATTATTCTAAGATAATATTAATAATTGGTCTAAATTAGTTATAAATATAGTTATAAAAAAATTTCTATTTTCTTAAAGATAATTAATTTTGATACATCAAAATCTTCTAAATTCTTAATTTCTTTAACAAAGACCAAATAGTTTCAAATCACTTAAATTACTTTAAAAAAATCTTTTACTAAAATTGATTATTTTTAAAAATAAAGTTCATCAAGACTTTTAAGAATCAAAGATTATTTCTAGATTATAGACAGTTGACATAGCCTAATTTCAAACTTGTAATTCTTAAGGGCATTCCTAAAAATTATATAAAATTAATTTAAGTTATTTAAATATATAAAAATAGATATAAAAATAATATTTTATTATTTACTTGTGCCGCCCATGTATTAGTTGTTACTTCCTAATGTTAATTACATGTGAATATTTATTATAGTTTTTTAAGTTTAAATATTTCTAAAATAAATAATACGATTTAAGAAAAAAACCTCTTTCAAATTTATTTACACTCTTATCTAAACCTAATCTCTAATTTATTCTTACATAAACATTGTGATATTTTTTATTTCTATCTTTTAATTTTCTATTTTTTTTAATTTTCTATTGTCTATTTTTTTAAGCCTTTAAGTTTGATAATATAATTTAAAGAAAAATAATACATGTTTTCTAATATTAATTTTATTTCTATTTTTTAATTTCTAAACTATATGGTTTTAAAAAAACTATTTAATATAATAAATTAACAAATTTTATTATAAATAAATATTTAAAATTTATTGTAATTAAATACAAGATATTTGATCTGCAATGCTTAGATTATTGAGATGTTATTGGTTTATTTCATATATTATTCTTCCAAAGAGAGCCTAATATATTTAAATTTAAAATCTAATTGTTGAATGATTAAATTAAAAAAAATCTTTTTGAATCTTTTAAATTTAAATTTTATTTTAAAATTAATTTCTAATTTTATTATAAAAGAAGATTTTATGAAAACTTATATCTAATCTTTATGATTATTTTAATAAAATCTTAAGTTTCTTTTATGTATAAATAAGTCCTACAATTGAAACCTTTTCTTGGATAAAATTTAAATTCATATTTTATTTCTAATAAGATTTTATCTACAATTTGAAGACTTATTTTTAAAAAAATTTAATCATATTTTGATTTTTTCTTATAAACCAAAAAAATTCAATTTGATAAAAAAAAAATTACTAATTTCTACTATATGTAAAGTAATTCTTAATATTTATTATTTATGCATGCATTAATGTCATGGACATAAATATTGACGCTTATAATTACTTAGGTAAGAGGAACTAGATAGAAGTCAAAGTAGATAAATTTAATATTATCATGTGCAGAAGCTTCTTGGAGGCTTTATAGATATGGATTTGATTTTAAAAGTCTTTAAAGATGATTTGTAGGTTGAAAAATTTGCCAATAAGTTAGCTACATCTTAGCTCTGTGGTGTACATATTAGAAACTTGCCTTGCAAATTAGACACCTATCTTAAAAATAGGACACATATTGGATGACTTATATAATGTTGCCACATCGCTCCTTAGTTAAATAGTATATATGGAGATAAGAGTAAGATCTTTCTCACTCTTATCAACAATTTATTGTATTTCTACTTTAGTTTAAGAATCTCTTTTCTTTTTGTATTTGATCTTGTTTAAAACTTTGCACATATTTCAATCTAGAAGTTAACAACAAGCACATAAAATTCAAGAAAAATCAAACCTACTAATTAGAATAAAAAGCTCCTAGTTTATTTGGATATTAGTTTTATTTTATTTTATTTTATTTTTTTTTCAATCTTGATGTAACACTACTATCATTAATAGATCTTTATTTAAAAATTTATTTTATTTAAAAATAAAAAAATATATTTCAAATCAAAATTACTATATGATTACATAATTTTTTTAATCCAATCAAAAAATTATTCAAGATCAAAGAAACTTTCATTGACCTTTAAAAACCATATTCCATATCTTAATCCAATTGAATTTTAATAATCTTTAATCTAACCATGTGATTGAACTTAAATTTACAA